GCTCATGGCTTCACTGAGTTACGCAAGCCGCTTCGCCATGACAAGGCAGTGATCCATGAAGGGGAAAGTAGTTTCAGTACCCTATTCCAACTAAAGGCCTAGGTGAAAGGTATAAAATATCATTCAGATGTGTCAACATGTTATTCAGTGGCTGGACAGTGATAATGTGGGGGAACTATTATACCTGGAATAAAAAAAACACAAATAAACATATCAACCTGTAGAGTTTTGTGTTCCTCTAAAATTAGTAATTGGTTTTCTTTGTGCTGGAATGCACATGGAATACATGTGAATTGGGTGGATGAATATAGTGCTAAAGGAACTGGAGAATAATTTCCTCTAATTTAGAATATTTCTTATTCATTTCTGTAAAGCATTCCCTACCCCATTTCTGTTTTCAGCTGAAAAAAAAATTCTAGGAGAGATGTAAAAATATTAAAAATAAGACAGTCTCTGCCTCTGGACTTACTATGAGAAAAAACACACAATACAAAATGGATTGGGATGGAAAACATAACAACTAGTCACTAGTTCTAAATATTAATACCCTTATATTGGTTTGTGCTTCATTTACATTTATATTTAGTATTTGGCAACATATAATAGTTTATCACTTCTGAGAGTGGTAGTATGTTACCTAGTACTGCATGATTAAAGAGAAGATAAACTTGTCATAACAGTGAAAAGCACATTCTTTTCAGGCCTGCTCAGAAAAGATGGAAAGTCAGCCAGCAAGCACAGATGCCCTCCACCCCCCCGCCCAATGGTTTCTCCATCCCCCTCAGATATAGGCCTCTGGCTTTCATACATGCAGCTATACCCAGAAAAGCCTACATATTCTGAGGTTATACTGGGAGTGAAACTACTGGATGCAGCTTTGTTCCATATTTTCAGCCAAACCTTTGAAGTTGAGCTTCTGAAAGAGTATGTTGTTTGTTGTTAAGCCCTAGAGATTAGGAAGAGCTGAACCACATGTTCCTTTACCATTTATGCATCTTGATGATTCATAGATTATTGATCAGAACTCACTCTGAAATGAGCAATGCCTTTTTTTAACAGATGGGGACATTGGACAGAATTTCAGAAATGCCCCAAAGGCAACTTGGTTTCCTTCTCTCTGAACATGGAAGAACATAAAGGACTACTTGATGATATAGCAGTTAATAACATCCAATTCAGTTGTGAAGATGGGACTGTGTTAACGGGCCAGACACATAACTGGGGTAGCTATGGCCCGTGGAGCAAACGTTGCCCTGTTGGCTTCATATGTGGAATCCAGACAAAGATTGAGGAAGAAAGCCAGGGAGATAATGCATCACTCAATGATATAAAGTTCTTCTGCTGTGCTTGAACAAAAAATTCTTTAGCCCTACTAAAATGCATCTCTCTGTGTTCTACTGGATTTGTTTGACATGAATCTCAACACAATTAAATCTTAAACTAGGAGTTTTATGTGATTTTTAATAGTTCAATTGTTAATAGCATGGTAAATTACCTTAAAAATGAATTGTTTAGTTTTTAACTATAACTAAATGGAAACTGTTAAACAATATATATCTTAAACTTATTATGTATCTAGGATTTATTTTCACAGCAGTGTAGTTTTAATAATTGTTCCACAATTATTATTGCTAAATTACACAGGTATATTCTTGCTGGATAGTCCATGTGGACATGGGAATTGGTTTAAAAGGGACATATATCAAAAATGGAAGTTGGACATAATCAACAAGGTAGCATAAAGCACACAAAATACTTAGATTGTCCAGGAAAGCTAAAAAAACAACAAAGGGCATTTTTGACTATACCATTAGTAAAAAAAAGAAAAAAGAAGGGTGGCCCTGATGCTTGCAGAAGATAGCAGGATAGTAACAGGTGATGGGGACAAAGATCCTGCTTTGCATCTGTCTTTTCTGCAAAAGGTAACTGAGCTGAAATGGACTAAGTCTAACAACTGATACTAGTAGGGTGTAAAGGGGCCTTGTTTGGCCCAGGAAGAGAGCCTTTTCTGCCATGACACTCGTCCTGTGGAACATCATTCCTCCCAAGGTAAGATTGGCCCCAACCCTGCTGGCCTTCCCAAATGCCCTCAGAAATGTGGATGTGCCATTGGGCTTGAGGGTCCCATGGAAGTGTGCAGTCCATTAAATGGTTGCACTGTGTATAGGTTTAGAGTACTCTCCCCTGTCTTTTTGTTATTGTAGTTTTTAACTGTTTTTAATGGGCTTTAACAGTTGAATTTTGTGATTATTAGCTTGTGTTTTAATTCTGTACACCACCCAGAGTCATATGCAAGTGAGATGGGCAGCCGTAGATAGATAGATAGATAGATAGATAGATAGATAGATAGATAGATAGATAGATAGATAGATAAGCCTTGAAAGGGCTTGCAGATATAATCTCAGAGCCCCTTTCAGTGATTTTTGAGAAATCATGAAGGACGGGTGACATGCCAGAATAATTGGGATGGATTATGCTACCGCTGCATGGATACAAAGCTGGTTGGATAATCACATCCAACCTGTGTATGTCAAAGGCCCCACACTGGGCTAGAAGGAGTGGCAAGTGGCTTTGTTGCTGGGTCCAGCACTGCTCACCATAAATAACATGGATGAGAGCTTCGATAATATGATGATCAAACAGCAAACATCTTTGACGACTCAATCAAGACTCAAGTAAGAACTTGACAAACTGCAACGATATGTAGAAACCAGCAAGATGAATTTCAACAGGGAAACTTGAAAGTCCTTCATTTTGGTCGAAAAAAATCAAAGTATGGTATAGGATGGAGGAAACCATGCTGGGAGTAACACATGCAAAAATGATTTGAGTTCCTTGGTGAAGCTGAAAATGAGCCCACAGAGTGATACAATTGCAAAAGAATTAAAAAGTCCTGGGCTGTGTCAAAATCAGAAGTCATACTCCCAGTCTATTCATTGCTGGTCTGGCCACTCCTAGAATATTGCATTGAGTTCTGGACACTGCATTTTAGGAAGGACATTGATGAACTGGATGTATAGAAGAAAGCAATTAAAATGTTAAAGGACTGGAAGGAAATAGATATGAGGAATGATTGTAGTCACTGAGTATGATTAGCCTACAGAAGAGAAAATTATGGGACAAATATTTGAAGGGCTGATATGCAAAAGATGGGGATGGCTTGCTGGTGTCATTCTAGAAGATGATACAAGAAATAATGAGTTTAAATTAAGAAGAAGATTTTTGGTACATCAGGAAGAATTTCCTAATGGTAAATGAAACAGTAATGGAACACTTTGCCTTGAGTGATTGTAGACTCTCTTTTACTGAAGGATTTAAAACAGAGGTTGGATGGCCATCGGTCAGGGATTCTATAGTGATCCAGGCAGGAAATTGAACTAGATGCCCTCCAGAGCCCTTCTAAGATTTTAGGTAGCCTTGGTACTCTTAAATATGGCTTAAGTTTCCAAGGTCCATTTGTCAACACATAGGAGAGGACTGTCTCCTGTGTTGCTCCTAAGCCAGCATGTCTCAACCTTGGCCATTTTAAGATGTGTGGACTTCAACTCCCAGAATTCCCCATGCTGGCTGTGGAATTCTGGGAGTTGAAGTCTACACATCTTAAAATGGCCAAGGTTGAGAAACACTGTCTTAAGCTATGGAAAGAATCCTTAGGAGTTGCTTATAGTTGCCACCTTTGTGCTTTCAGGAAAGAAGACTGGAATTTCCATTCAAGCAGGACTTTTCAGTGGGAATTAATCCATTTACAAATAGTTTAAAGGCTCTTCACTATCTTTTAACTGCTTGTTATTAGCAGTTCAGGTACCCTTCAGGTATACAGGCAGGATATAAAAACAAACCAGCAAGCAAACACAGAAGTATAACAATATTCATCTGAGTAGAAAACAAAATATTAAACAAACAAACAAATAAATATTTTTTTTAAAAAAATGACATTTCTATGCTGAGTCTGAGCTCACATTACAAGGGGAGAGGGGACAAAATGGCCAACAGTGACTTTATTTGACTTTAGGTTGTTGGCTATAGTGGACATTGTCTATTTAAATGTCTACTTTGGAAGATGAACAAACACCATCGTGAAGATCCCTAAAGTGCTTTTTTTTCCTTTTTCTTTTTTAGTAGACCTTGGTCTAGAAGCGGTCAAGTTGTAGACTAAAGCTATACAGATATCCAGGTGTTTTTTTTTGGTGATGTCAGTAGAGATAATCTCAAAACTGGTAAGGCCTGCACTACTAAAGCAATTGACATCTCTATGGTTGACACAAAGACAAAACATTGATTATAACAGTTACATAAATATTTTCTCTGCTTAGCTGTTGCAGTTGTAAAAAGTGAGGATTCTGCTTTGGCTGCTCAATTAACATGGGTCATATTTACAACCTATATAACACTGTTGTTGCTGTTTCTTATAATTAACAATTCATGGTTATTGCACCATTATATATCATAATTCACTTAGGACCATCTGGAGAATGCCTCGCCATGTGATCCTAGGTTCTTTATGTAAATGCATGGATCTCAAGATGTTCATGTTTAACTGTCAGGAACAACATTTTCAACCGGGCCCACAAACAAATTATAAAGCACTGGCATAATAAAGTCAGATCATCTAGATCTTGTTGATAGTCTTAGAATTTATTTTGAAACCGTTTTTCCCATCTTTTTGCAACTTTTGGGAATTCCACCCACAACTACTGAAAATTAGAGGCGTCACTTCCTGCCATTTTGAGGACAAAAACACATGAAAAGTATAACATAAACCATGGCCCTAAAGAAAGAAAAAAGGAGGGAGGGAGGGAAAGAAAACTGATCATTCCAATTAAAACAAAAACAAAAAACAACTCTGACCAACCCACAGTACTGCCAGGGGTATACTGGAGAGGTTTTAGCACCTTTTCAAATTTGGGGGGATTATTGGGGGACTATTGTTAAAAAAAAATAGTTTGATAAAATGTGACATTGTGACCCTGGAGAACAAGGAGATAATACAGAGAGGAGAACTGAGGAAACATCTGGTAATGTTTACAAGAGTAAGGAACTAAGATAGGTACTACAATGACTGTAGCTTGGTCTAAAGTAAAGCTTGCAGAAAGAGAAAGTGCTTGAGGAAGATCCAAGAAAGTTGGTTTGCACACTGTTATTTGACAGCATTAACTACTCTTGTTTACTCAACTAGTTTCCAAACAAACAATAGAAAAAAACAAACCAAGAGAAGCAGAATGCCTTTGTTCTCTGGATCATGAAGAAAATACTTCTCAACCCTTCCCATCCCTTTGTTAACAAATTAGCAGCACATACCGCTGGTCCCACTTACTTTGCACCCTCCTCATTTGTTTACAAAATGTTTTGTTGATTGTCTACTCTTCTAAACTAACACAATTGCTAGGCTGTTTTCTGCAGAAGCCTATGCACTCCAAATACAATGGTTCTTGAACAAGACATTAGGACACGGTCTCTTCAGGTCATTAGTTCCATTAAATACGGCAGATTGACTGAAACTGATAAAAGTAAGTTTCCATGGGATTATTACTTTCACCATGATATAGTTCAGCAATTAGTTCTGGCAGTTAATTTTCAGAAATCATTTCAGCAGTTAGTTTCAGTTTAAAAAACAGTTTGAGTAGTTAGCTTCAGTGTTTGTTTTAGATCCACCTAAATAATCCATTTCAGAACTTAAAGACAGTAAATGTAGAGTCAGTAGAATTTCTTGGTTAACTCTTTAGGGAGGAAAAGACCTGTGTAGGGACCGTACTTTTCAAGATAGGCAAATTGTTGAACTGGATGGCTCCGGTGGCAAGAATGAATAAGATAAATAGAAAAACTGCAAAAGGAGTTCAATTCAGATCATGAAATAGCTTCAGTGGAATTGGTTTCTCCTTGAATCTTAAACCTGGATTAAATAATCCTTTCTTCAAATCTCCAATTCAAATTGCATCAGAGTTGATTTACACAATTACCACAAAAACCAGTTGTGTTTGTATCACAACTGTGGTGATTTAAAGTTGAAAAGGTATCTGTAAAGTTAGATTTTTTAGTGTTGCTAGTTAAGAGTTGATTTGTCTGTTGAAAAATATATTTCTGTGCTAACAGTAGAAAAGTAACTGTAGAAACCAAGAAAACAGTGAACCCCAGGTTCCCCTTTGGCATTGTAATTTAGTCTGGTGTGACTCTAAGGAAGGGATCAGAAGCCAAATAAAAAGCTGTAAAATGTCAGGCAAAGAGTGGTAGTGTGAAAGGGGTCTTTTTACAATATTTGTAATAGTGAAGGAATGTAGATCAGGGTGACAGCAAGATTAAGGCACTCAAGCCTGGATTGGGGTGCTTACTTTATTGCTGATGTAAAGTTAGGGG